TCAAATCAGATCTGACTGGTACAGGAGGAGATTGCCCCTCCTTTCCCGGCAGAGCATCTGGTGGATTCGAACCGTGCACCTCTGGGATTGTAGTTGCAGCTTCTTGCCACTAGGCCATCAGAGCTCCCCTTGTTATTTTGTTTTTTAAAAATATTCTACTAGTTTATTTACAAAATTTGAATACACTTTTTTTAAGAACAGTTCTTAACTTATACATGGTGGCAGGCCAAGACTAGAGGAACTCTGTTAGGTATTTGATAGAGGATCTCTCTATGTAAGAGTCAAATTTGATTTTTTTTTTTATCAAGAACAAACTCATAGTGAGGACGAGTAAATAATAGATATAAATAGCATGTGAATACACTCTAGAGACAGAAGTCCAAGGTAACCTGCGCAGAAACTATTTTATATTTTCAAATGTTCATAATCTTAGGTGTTTTGCAGAGGGGGGGAAGCGTAAGTACTTGGAGACTGAGTGAGCACTAGGCTGAGTTTACTACTAGGAAGAGGAGAGAACAGACATATGTAAAATGCAGAATGTTTTAGACAGTAGGATGGAGCTTAGGTGGTGCAAGCTGGCTTTTTATACTCTCAAATTCTGTACCCCACAGAACAAATTAGGTTTGTGATATGAGTTGACTTTTAGATTTGTTTGAATTCAGATGGAATACTTAAGTCACTGGCTACAGACACTATTTTCACTATTGGCTGTATATTTTTCCAGGAAGCTGTTGCCTTTGATTTGGGGGTTCTGGCCCCCGAATGCTGGGATCCTGATATCCTTGCAGTTTTTATATCCTGTGTCATTTTGATATTCCTTTAAGCTATTCCCATGGTAGTTGGGTGAGGCTCTGGGTCTCTATTTCCATCAGTTTATTAAGCAGTCCCCTTTACTGTTCACTTATGCCATGACTAAAGCCTGAATCCAGGCGACTCGATGGCACATAACAACAGTAACAACAACATGCAATTTGAGGCTTCAGAAACCTGATACAGTGTCCCCTATGAGTTGGTTCTGACTTGATGGCAATGATTTTTTTAGGAAGACTCCATAACTTTCTTAAGAATCAAAGTAGGGATTATTGAAAACAGATGTTTTTCTTATTCACGGGGGTAAACATCAACCTTATATTTTGCACATTATTGCTGTTTTTTACATGTGACCATATCAAATAACATTTTTTATTTTGGGGTTCTTTACAGATATTAATCAATGGGACCATCTTTGCAAGGATGTCTCCTGGGCAGAAATCCAGCCTGGTGGAAGAATTTCAGAAACTGGAGTAGGTTCTTTACCCATTCAGGTGGTGGGAACTGCATGGAGGCGTGGCAGTCAGGGGAGGGGCAGAGGGCCAGGGAGTGACCCAGGTGGACGAGGAGAGCAGATCTCCTGGGCTACACATCCCAATCATCCAGGGGGCTTTTTAAAAATAGTAACATTTGAACCTCACCTTGAAGAGATTCTGATTCAGTTGTTCATATGAGGCGTGGCCATCAGGATTTTTTCAAAGCTTCACAGATGAATCAATTGTATATCCAGAATTGAGAGCCAAAAACCTAGAAGCCATGGGACATAAGCAGTGCTGTAAGATAGAAGTTTGAAAACTAATATAAGCTCACATTCCAGAGGCACAATGAGCACCTAGACTTTATTTTTATAAATAATTGTCATTGCAGTTATAAGGAAGACTAATGTGTTAATGTGACAAAATATCCTATTAAGAATATTAAAATATTATTATGCCAAAGAATGTCTATTTTCAGGCAGAAGGAGCAAACCAAATAAAATGTCCATCATTCATTCATGGTCCTTTATTTTTTTTCAGTGTCAATTTTTTTTATAATTGGTTTGCTTACAAAGTTAGCATACATTGTGTTTCACATGATTCTTCATTTATGTTGTGTTTCATACAATCATTCTCATGCATTATGCTTTATGAAATTAATCCCTATTGAGCATCGCCCATGTCACAGAAAACCAGAGACTTTCTCTACTTCTGGTGCTTGACTATATCCAGACATCTTTGCCACAGCATGGCAGAAAACGTAAAGAATAAGCTTGGTTGTTGCTGTTAGCTGCATCTGGATTGACTCCAGCTTCCAGTGATACTATTTGTGTCAGAGCAGGACTGTGTTCTGTAGTTTTCAGCGGTTGAACTTTGTAGAGAGATCCATAGTTCTTCTTGCCCGAGGCATCTCTGGGTGTGGTTGAGCCTCCAATCTTTCACCACTGAGCATGACCACAGATTTCACCACCTGGAGACTCCTGGGGTCTGGAAATGTACACCAAATGTCTCAACCCATTGTGTAAAGTGCTGAGTCACCCTTTACTTAAGGGCAGACTAAACTGTTAAAGGAATTCCCTCAAAAATAAGCAACATGTTTGAATCTTAAGTCATATAGGTCTTTTTGTCTTTCTGATTAATTAGGAAATGTATCTGTTAAGATTGCTTTGATCTCCTTTGCAATTAATTGATTTGGTTTCCTTTCAGTTACTTTGTCGGAATGTGTGGTGATGGAGCCAATGACTGTGGAGTAAGTAACTGCTAGTGTGGGGGCCACAGTCTCGGCCACATGTACTTGCCTAAGCCCTTTCCACCAGCTTCTCTGAGGGAGAAGAATGGGCAGTCTCTTCTCATGTAATTAACTGGCTCTGAAAACCCACCGGAGGGTCAGCTGTGGGTCAGTTACAACTAGATGGTACAGAGTGACAACAACAACAAAGCCCTTTGGAAAGTGTTTCCTTAGATATACCACCTCCACCTCCAGTACTCTTTGAAGGGCAAATTCATGCTGAAGGAGTCAGGAAGGACTTGATCAAAGTTGTCTAAAGACACAGTGCTCAGTAAAAACTAAACGGGGTAGAGTTTAGTTCTAGAATTTCCACCTAGTTGGTTAGATGTCCCAATGCCATGTCCTCCTTATACAGAAGTCAAAGCAAAGGTGGGCCCTCTCTTGCTAATGTTTAAACCAATAATCACTGAGCATGGAATTTAGCTAGCTTTTACTATGGGCTGTTGGTGGAGACCTCTGCACATCTACATAGGTAGTAAGCTGATTGTTTGCTTTCAGGCTTTGAAAATGGCTCACGTGGGCATCTCTCTGTCACAGCAAGAGGCATCAGTAGCCTCACCTTTCACCTCCAAAACTCCAAACATTGAGTGTGTACCCCATCTTATCAAGTAAGTAGCCACTTTCCCCCAGTATCATTTTATCACTCAGTGCCAACTAATACTATTGTCTTAGACCAGGGAATCCTTGATTGTACCCCAAGGATGGTGAAGTGTTTTGTAATGGAATACATTAAGCATATGACTTCCAAGCTGTATTTATTAAGAGTTGAAAGTAAGCTGTGGGAGCAGTGACATTTTTCTATGAAAGTCATTGATTAGGTAATTTTAACAAGACTGGTGCATAGAATTTGGATCATTCCTCTTATATATTTGTTTATATTTTACTGCTTCTTCCCAAAATTGGGAGATGGAGGAAAATCTTTTCCTCACTTGGCTTGTTTTGCCAAGTCTCTTTATGCTTCCTTCTATACCCTTGAATTATCTTCACCATCACCAGTTCTAAAAATATTTCATCTTTGCTGCTTCCACAATAATTTCCCTCACTTCTGTATTTTTCCCTCCAGACATGTACTTCTGTTGCATTTTATTTGAATGATAGAGATAGTTAACAATGTGGATTCTCAGTTATTATAGTAAGTAGCATGTATTTGCACGTTATGAAGAACTTTAATGTCTATTATCTTATACTTCAAAACAGCCTGGAAATGTAGAATGGTTATTATTTCTTGTACAAGTGAAGCAATCAAGGTTCAGAGAATTTAACTGATGGGCTCAAGTTCATAGTCATCTAGAGTTAGAGAGTGAATTTGAATTAATTTTCTTTAAATGTGTTTTATGTGAAAAGCTCATACTCCCCTTTCCACATTAAAATAATTATTTGGCAAGCTTTTCTCTACTTTTAATTTATTCATGCATTCAGTTTTTGAGCAGGCTCTTTGTACTAGTCACTTTTGGAAGCATTGAAGACCCAGGAGCAAGGAACAAACAAAACCAAAACTGAAAAAAAAAATAACAAAACGGCCCCTGGATCTCATGAAACTTATTTTTCATGAAGAGAGTCAGGCAATTAACAAGTCTAATAATAATAATAATAATAATAATAATAATAGATAGTTACAATGATATATTCTTTAAATTGAAAGAATTGAAGAAAAAATTTAATCCTGCAATACTATAGGATGCCACAGGAAAAACATTAAACTACACAAGAAGTAACAAAAGAATATGGAAAAAAAAATAGAGTGCGACTCTAACCCAAAGAGTTAGTCAGTCATTTCAGGAAGTAGCTTATAACCAAACCCTGATGGTATTGAAGGACAGTGCCTAGGTGACATTGAAGGCATTGGCAACAGTCAAACCTCCAAGAACTGAGAAACATTAACTGAGATGCTTCAACAGATGGGTGCATTACTAGGAGCACTTACTTGTCTATGCCAAGGAATTTAGACTACCTACTCTTCTAAGATTACCTAGTAATCAAATGGAAAGGGAACCGTGTTATTCCTGTTCCAAAGAGAGATGCTCCAACAGAATGCAGAATTCTTGAATAAAATCATTAATATTTTGCACAAGTAAAATTTTGCTGAAAATAATAAAAAAAAAAAACCACAAAAAAACAAAAACAACAATTGCAGTATGTCAATGGCAGGAATCTCCAAGAGATTCAAGCTGAAATAAGAAGTTGTTGTTGTGTACCATTGAGTCAGAAGAGCCAACCCATTGCTGACCCTCTGGCAGGTTTTCAGAGGCAGTTAATCACACGGGAGGAGATTTCCCATCCGTCTCTCATGGAGCAACTTGGACTTGAACCATCTGCCTTTGCAATTTCTTGCCACTAGGCCACCAGAGCTCCCTGAAATAAGAAGACGTGAAATAAGGGATATCATATAGATCTTGGCTGAAAGCAGAGAATTTCTGTCGATTATTGTCCGTGAAAAGGCATTTACTTCTGTGGATCATAATTTATGCATTAGATTGCAGAGAATGGGCATTCTAGAACATTTCATTGTACTGATGTAGAATCTGTATGTTGATTAAGAGGCAACCATTGAAACAGAACAAAGGAACACTTGCTGATTTTAAATCAAGAAAGATGTGTACCAGATTTATATCTTGTTAGTGTATTCTGTTAGGCAAATAATCTGAGAAGGTGGATTGTATGAAGAAGGATGTGGCATCAGGATTGGAGGAAGACTTATGCAATAACCTGTTATTTGCAGACAACACAACCATGAAAGCAAAGGAGACTTGAAGTACTTACAATGAAGACTTGCAGATGATCAGAGACTGCAATCTGCAGTGTGAATTATACTTCAACAAAAAGAAAACAAAAATCTTCTTAACTACACCAGTAACCACCAGGATATACGGAGAAAAGTTAAAGTTGTCAAAAGTATTTGTTTAGTTGGATCTCCAATCAATGCCCATGCAAGCAGCAGACAAAAATGAAAAGACATGCTACATTGGGAAAGTACCTTGCAAGAAGATCTCTTCAAGACTTAAAAAACAGAGATGACATTCTGAAGACTTAGGTGTGTCTGACCCAAGCTATGACATTCTGGGTTGCCTCACATGTGTGTGTAAAAATGGGACAGAAAATAAAACAGATTAAAGAAAAATTCATGCCTTTGAATTATGAAGCTGACAAAGAATATTAAATGAAGTACATAGAAGAATAATCAAATCTTATAAGATATCTAAGTACAGCTTATCCCAATGCTCCACATACTTTGGACAGGTTTCACATAAGCACAATTAAGTGCTCTGGGACTCGTGTTCTTGTCAATGTCAGCCACAACTTCTTATGAGCCACATAGTCAAACTCCTTTGCATAGTCAATAAAGCACAAATGGACATTCTTCTGGAAATTTTTACTTTCAGACAAGATCCATCAGACATCAGCAACGATTTCCCTGGTGCCACAGCCTCTTCTAAATCCTGCTGGAACTTCTGGTAGCTCCCTATCTATGTACAGTTGTGCTCACGTGAAACCTAAATCTAGACCAGGAGGCTGTTGTGCAAACAAAGCAGGGGAGCACTGCATGGTTGAAAATTGAGGAGGAAGTGTGTCAGCATTCTATTCTCTCTCCGTAGCTATTTAATCTGTATGCTGAGCAAATTATCTGAGAAACTGGACTCCAGGAAGAGGAATATATTATTATTATATCTGTATCATTATGCTGATGACACAATCTTAGTTGCTGAAAGTGAGGAGGACTTGAAGCACTTGATGCAGAAGATCAAGGAATGCAGCCTTCAGTACGGATTGCATCTCAGTGTCGAGAAAACAAAGATTCTTACCACTGGACTTATAGGCAATATTATGATGGATGGAGAAGAGATTGAAATTGTCAACAACTTCAACTTGCTTGGGTTCACAAATAACACCCTTAGTATCAGCCATCAGGAAATAAGGAGACATGTTGTACTGGGAAAGTCTGCAATTAGGGACATCTCCAAATTATTGAGGAGTAATGATGTCAGTTTGAGGACTAAGGTATGTCTGATTCAGGCCATAATCTTTCCAATCATTTGCTATGCATCTGAGAGCTGGACAAATGAATAAGGATGACAGAAGAACATGCCTTTGAACTGCAGTGTTGGAGAAGAACACTGAACCCCATGGATGACCATTTATCTTGGAGAGGGTGCAACTGGAGTGCTCTTTGGAGGCAAAAATGATGAAGCTTTTTCTCACATACTTTAGGTATCTTTCTAGAAGGCTCTATTCCTTGGAGAAGGACATGATGCTAGGAAGTGTGGAGGGTCAGCAAAGGAGAGGAACACCTTCAATTAGATGAATTGGTACAGTGACTGTTGCAATGGGCTCTTTTATGTCAGGAAATGTAAGTATGACACAGGATAGAATAGTGTTCAGATATTTTGTTCATAGGGTCACTATGAGTCGTACTCAACAACACATAATAACAACAATAATTTTGGACCTAGAATCAGGAAGAACTAGTCCCTGGAGAAGATATCATGTTAGTAAAGTAAACTCAATGAATACGAGGAAGACCTTAGAGAGGTGGATTGGTACTGGCCACAACAGGACAGTAAGGACTGTGAGGGCATCATAGGACTGTGTGGTGTTTTATTCTGTTGTAAATAGGAACACTATGAATCAGAACTGACTCAAAGGCACCCAGAATAATAGAACTGAACACCAAGTAAAATAAGCCCTGGCACAGCAGTCAAAGCAACAATCTCTTATCCAAAAGGCCAGATGTTTGAACTCATCAACCACTCCATGGAAGACATAAGATGAGTTTGCTTCAGTGAAGACTGCTAGCCTTAGAAAACCTGTGATTAGGGGACAGAATCAGCTTGACAGCAATGGGTTTCGTTTTAGTTATTAAGAAAATAGAGTCTTTGGAGGTACAGGGATTGAACATATGGCCACTAACCAAGAGATTAGTGGTTCAAACACACCAAATCCCCTATGAAGAAAGATGTGACCATCTGTTTCTGTAAATAATATAACCTTGGAAACTCTTGGCGTATTCTTACTCTGTTCTCGAGGGTCATTTACAGCTACAGGTTTGCTTTATTTTTGGGGTGAGAGATGTGGAAAGGACATGAACAATTAAGTGCTCAGGTACTATTTCTACTACTTGCTAAATAATAATGATAAATGACAGTTGTTTTAATCCACCTGGAGAATCCCTAATGATTAGTGTCCAGAAAGTTAACTTTTAAAGCAATCTGGTGTACAGTTTTATTCTGACACACAGAGCTGCTATGAGTTAGAATTTATTCTAATAGCAGACGACAGATGGTATATATTGGGGTGGAGAAAAGAGTCACGTGTAAGGTATTAAGATGACTTTGGAGGGGAGGTTACTGCTTCTGTGGGGCGGCATGGGAAAGCCTTTCTAAAGTGAATGATGATGAAGACCTAATTATCTTCCAGTCAGAGAATATGGTAATCACAAAGTCTTAACATATGGAATATCCTGGCTTGGAGATCATTCCATTACACCAAGAAATAATTATGATCGTGTTTTTGTTTGATCAGTGTGTTCCGCTGAGTTGATCCTCATCTGGACCTGTGGGACACAGTAGAACTGGTCCAGAGGGTTTCTGAATGTAATCTTCAGTGGAGCAGACCCAGGTCTTTTCTCTCATGAATAGTGTATTTGAATCACTGACCTTTTACTTAATAATGAAGTGCTTGATCATTGAGCTACCAGGGTTCCTTATTATGGCCATAAGTAAATCTAAGCCCAAGATTTTCTTTAGTGAAATGGTAAATGTTGTATTTTATAAGGATCTATTTCATGCTTTGAACATTTACTGTTTAAGAATTGATCAGCAATAGCATATGCACAGTCTCAAACATACACACATGTGAACACACACATATACACATATACCTCAGTTGTATGGTATAATTTTGACTCGTGTTAAATATATTTGTGTGTCAGAATGGAATGTGCTCCATAGTGTTTTCAAAGGCTAGTTTATTTCCAGAAATAAGTCACCAGGACTTTCTTCCGAGTCATTTCTGCATAGCTCAACCTTCAGTCTTCTATTTAAAAATATCGTTGATTCATTTGAGTATTCATGCTCTTCTCTTTTTAGTACGGATTTAGAAATGGTGAGTACAAAATGAAATTTGAGTTAAATGCTTTCCAAGCTCCAAAAACAACTTTAGGAAGATACCTCAGCCACTCTATCTTATTTAAAGTCCTCAATGTACAGACAAAACAAAATAAATGGCATTAAAACCCAACTCAACATACCCATGACTGAAAACTGGCAATGATCTTTCATGCCACTCAAGATCTAGGACGAGTTCCCAGGTACCTTGGAGCTAAAAGAATGTCAGCAAAGAGAACAAGAGCAATGGTATCTATACAGATTATTCTAGAAATGGTCTCTGGAAATCAAGCCAGCTCCTCTCGGCTGACTGCTCTCCGGTCTGTCAGACAAACAATTGGATAATCAGACTTTTTATTCCCCCCCCCCCCTTGAGCTCAGCTGAACAGCTCAGAATAAATAACCAATCTTATTTCTTCTCTTTGTGCAGGGAAGGGCGTGCGGCTCTCGTGACCTCCTTCTGTATGTTTAAGTACATGGCTCTGTACAGCATGATTCAGTATGTTGGTGTTCTGCTGCTCTACTGGGTATGACTCAGGACCTAGCCTCTTGGTTAGTGAGAACTAAAACCAGTGAAAGGGTGCTTTCAATGTGCCACGCCTCTTAATGAGAGAGTGTGACTAGGATACTCACATGCTAACAGCTCCTTCAGAAAGTAAAGCAGTAGATAAGCATGCATGGAAAGTATGTTAATTCCAATTATCTAGCTCTCCAACACACCAATCTTTTGTCTCATGGTAGCTGAGGATCTGGACTGAATACAGTACTGCATCATTCTTGGCCACTTTACCTAGCCACTTTGGATAACATTCCTCCCTTCCCAATTCTAGGATGGTTCTACCCTTTATTAAGGAAGTGATTCTCACTGTGGTGTGCTGGTAAATGTTTTATAACTGGCTTTTCTTGGAAAAGCAAACTATTGTTTTCATTAATCTTTGCTATTTTCTGCAGCATGACATTGGCACCACTAAACACCATGTTGCAAAGACATGCACCATAGTACATAATTAGTTAGAACTTCTACCACACAGATGCAGTAGGTGGAAATAATCTCAAGTTTATGTCCAAGACTAAAATGTATAAAATCACAGGCAAGTAAGTTCTGAGTATTTGCTACCTTTATTTTTAACAGTTTATTTAATGGCATGTATGTGTAATTTATTTACTTACTTTTCATAACATAACAGCTGACATACCCAATTCCTGAAACTCCTGTAATTGATTCCCTTGGGGAAGTACAAGCAGGATTCTGTATACCACTGATTCCCAGAATATGCAATTTAAAAGTTGGCATATCACATCACAAACAATTCACATATTACAAAGGCTTTTGCTATCTAGCAAGATAGAAATGGGAGGGGGGAGGGGGGAATGCCTATTTTTTAACCACTTAATTTGCCTTGCTTTATAAAGAATTGATTCTTTTTCATGGATACATTTTTAGCTCTGTTATCTTTATATTACTTGTATCTTCCCTGTCCCCTCTTACCAACAAATAATTTGGAAAAGGACAGGCCATTTATAGAAATTTGACCCATTTTTTAATCTCAACCACTTGTTACACTTAAAAGTGCAGTTGAACATATTTCATTATCTCCTTTCCACTAAGGGGGATGAGAGGGGGACCTGGAAATGATAGACAAGCCTATTTAAAAGAAGTAAGAGCTGAACACATTCTCAACAGGAGCATTAGTGCTTTGTAAGACTAAGTCTAACATTACCCAAGAATGTAAATTCTTGTTTTCCATCTAGTAAAATATAGATAATATCATACACTTGTCACTTGTGTTACTAGGAATGTATCATTTTATTGTGGTAAACCAAACCCTTATTTTTTAATTTAAAAGTAGAAAAGAGAGCATAGATACAGTAGAATCAAAGCATTGTCCTTAACAAAGAAATGTCTCACTGCAAACAAATCAGCCCAGAAAACACTCCTGCTTAGTGACCCTCCTGCGTGCTGTGGGCTTCACAGGCTTGGTTTTACATAATCCCACCACGGACAAAACACACCAACCCAAAGTAGCCTCAGGTTCATCACTTCTTCCGCAGTTTGTAAGAAAAATCTTATGTTGCAAATGAATGAAATTGGTGGCAAATTTTATCCCAAAAGTAATAACTTTTTGAGTTTGTTTTCTTCCTTTTTTTTTTCTTTCCAGAATACAAACAGTCTTTCAAATTACCAGTTTCTGTTCCAGGATTTGGCCATTACAACTCTTATTGGTATAACAAGTAAGATGTTTTAAAAACTTTCATCCCAGAGACACTGCCCTCAGTTAACTTCCCTCTGCTTCAGAAGGGTTTGTCTTGAGGGACTGTAGCAGGAACAGAGATGTAATTATTCTTGAAAGTCCTTCCAGAGAGAGAGGAGATAGGATTCTTACTTTTGAGTGTTGAATGATGGTATTATCAAAGAAAAAGCTGGCTTTCTATTTTGTGATTTCTATAAAATATAAAACTTCCATAAAATGGTCACTAAACATTATAAAAAAACCCTCAACACCTTGAAACCAGGAGTGCCAGCTTTACTCTGCTTTTAGATATTGTTGTAGTTAAACCCATTCAATTTATGAAAGCTTAATGACTTTTATGTTTTCTATCTCAAAATCCTACCATTTTGAGATTAAGAATAGACTCTAATCATGCCATATACCATTCAATTTTTGTACTTTATAACTAATACATCAATTATCTCCTAAATTACCCTACTAAGAGTTTTTAAAAAAAAACATCAATTAACTGTTATTTATTCATAATCTCTATTTTTTTCTCTAACACATATGCCCTAGTAATTCCACTTGTGCTTTGCATTTTATTTCAACCCCCTATCTAAAGGACCTTGTTCTTATAATAACCTCTTTGTCCACTATTATCAACTTTCCCCCTGATCTGCTGGATTATTCTCATCAGCTTAAAAATATGTTCTAATATCTTTTTATTTAAAAAAAAATCTTCTTTGGCTCCAAATCCTTTGCTAGCTACTGCACCGTTTAGTCTCATACTTCTCAGATAGCCATACACATCACTTTCTGCACTTCACAGCTCTAATTTAATCATCTCATTCTAATCAATCTTCTATTCTCACCACTAGATGTCCAATCAAATTCTAATATTTGGGGACATGAATGTACATGCTGTGCCTGTCTTTGGTAGATGACAATAACGTACTTACAAATATTTAACAATCAACTATCAAAAATTCTTTCTCTCTCTCTACCTACCTACGTATATAATGTTGAGTTGGGGTTAACTCATAGCTGACCCTCTAGTGGGTTTTCAGAGGCAATTAATCATATGAAAGGGGATAGTTCATCTTTCTCTCATGGAGCAACCGGAAGATTCGAACCATAAACATTTGGGTTGAAAGCACAATTTCTTATCACTGGGCCATCTGAGTGTGCATGTGCGTGCACACACACACACACACACACACACACACACACACACACACCCCATATTTCTCCTCATTGTACTGAATTTCTCAAAGCACTGTCATCCAAATACAATTCTTCACTTGGCTTTGTGATACCACACTTTTTGATTATCTGCCATATATATGGCTTTACCATTTCCTTTGTTGGCCCCTACTGCTTTACCTGTCATGTTCCAGGGGTTGTTATGGGGTTCTGTTGACTTCTCAATCCACTCCATTCCTGTATATATTATCAGCACATCCTATGGTTCTATTACTATCTAAATGCTAATGGATACCAACATTTAGACTTGATCTTTACTCTAGACTCTGTAATTGTAAATGCTCAGCATTTTTCTGTGAGTACTTAATTGGCTCAGAATTAACACGTACAAATAAGAAGTCTTAATTTTACCACAGCACCTAATAACAACAAGTCTCATGGCAGGAAATTGCCCATCTTGTGAGGAGCCACTGGTAGATTTGAGTCACCAAAGAGCCATGGGCTTTGTATGTGAGGGCAATCTGGCTGTGACATCTGACACCTCATTGATAACTAGGGCTGATTCAACTGATCCGGTTGGCTGGCTGGCTAGGTGGGTGTCCCCTTCCTCCCTCACCACTCCTTGTGTGTCTTTTCTGAAGCTGTGTGCTTGATTGAAAAGAATGGCCCTCCCCGATGGAAGAAGGACCGCTCTTTGGTCAAGGGTATATGAGTATCGGCTCTTCCCTGCTAGAACCTCCAAACACGCTTTCAAAGAGCCATGGCCTCTGGGTTAGCAGCCTAACTCTTTATGGACTATGCCACTAGATATTTAGGAAATAATCCTGAGGGTGCTCCTTTGGTATAGCTGAAGCAAGTTGCACTGACGAGCCAAAAACCATGCCTCTTTGTTGGTTTGAATCCACCAGGGGCTCTTGGAGAGACAGATGGGCAATTTCTTCGCGTGAGACTTATTGTTGTTGTTGTTGTGATTTACAGTCTTGGAAGCCCAGTGGAGGGCCAGTTATATTTTGGTTCTGAATGCAGTGAAAGACAGAGAGAGACAGATAAACAGGCAGAAAATAAATACTGAATGTCTACTTGGGTATTAGTCATTTGTCAGTTGGCCATACTGTGATGGCATGCATGCAGTTGTGATGCTGGAAACTATGCAATCAGTATTTCATATCAGCAGAGTGGAGCAGGACAGTCCATCTACTTCTTAAATGCCTTTGAAAACTTTATGAATAGCAGTGGAACTTTGCCTGATATAATGCAGAAAAATGAAGCCTCTATGCTGGACTCAACTCATTGCTCTCAAGTTGTACCCAACTCATAGCTGATCCTCCATTTTCCAAGTTTCTGAGATCTTAAATAATACTGGAAGACATTGTTTCTTTTCTTCCTATGGAGCTGCTGGTGAATTTGGAATGCTAGAGAGGTGTGGCCTCTGGTTTAGTACAATTCCCTACACACTATCCCACCAGAGCTCTTTTTCAGATTGGAGCTGCCTCTTCATGGTAGTTGTTGTTGTTTTTATGTGCCATCAAGCCGCATGCAACTCATAGCGACCCTATGTACAATAGCCCTAAACTCTGCTCTGTCCTGTGCCAATCGCACTGTCTCTGACACTCCCATCCTGATTACCCCAGTCACTGTATCAATCCACCTCATAGAGGGCCTTCCCCTCCTGTGCTGTCCCTCCACCCTCCCAAGCATGATGTCCTTCTCCAAGGACCAGTCTCCTTACAACATGACCAAAGTCTGTTAGACGAAATCTCAGAATCCTTACCTCCAAGGAGCCGCCTGCTTTCACCCTTTCCAAGATGAATCTGTTTGTTTTCTTAGTGGTCCATGGTACCCTCAATACCTTTTCCAACACCAAAGCTCAAAGGCATCAATTCTCCTTCTATCCTCCCTAGTCATTGTCCAATTCTCTGATGCATAACAAATGATTGCAAAGACCATGGCTTGTATCAGACGCACCTTAGTCTCCAGAGAGACATCACTGCTCTTCAGTGCTTTAGAGAGGTCCGTAACAGCAGACTTTCCCATCGCACTGCTGGTGCCAAGAATGTTGATTGTGGAGTCAAGCAGACTAAAGCTGTGAACAATCTCAATCCTGATGCTGCCAATTGGTCCAGTGGTGAGAATCTTTGTCTTCTTGATATTGAGCCTCAATCCATATTGAAGGCTGCAGTCCTTGACCCTCTGCTGCAAGTGCTTCAGGTCCTCCACAGTTTCATCAAGCAGGGTTGTATTATCTGTATTACTCAGATTGTTGATAGATCTTTCACCAACCCTGATGCTGCATTTCTCCTCATAGAGCCCAGCCTCCCAGATGATCTGTTCTGCATAGAGATTGAAAAGGTATGGAGATAGGACACATCCCTGGCATACACCCTTTCCCAATTTTGAACCATGCAGTGTTTCCTTGCTCTGTTCTGACTATTGCCTCTTGGTCCCAGTATAGGTTTCACATTAGCACCATCAAGTGTTCTGGGATTCCCATTCTTCTCAGAGTCAGCCACAGTTTGTTTTGATCCACACAGTCAAATACCTTTGCATAATCTATGAAGCACAGAGAGACATCCCTCTGGTATTCCCTGCTTTCAGCCAAGATCCATCTAACATCAGCTACAATATCCCTAGTACCTTGACCCCTTCTAACCCCAGCCTGGACTTCTGGTAGTTCTCTGCTGATGTGCTGTTCCAGTCGCTTTTGGATAATCTTCAGCAGAATCTTGTTTGCATATGAAATCTAAGAGATTGTTCTGTAGTTTCCACACTCTGATGGGTCGCCTTTCTTTGGGATAGGAACAAATATAGATCTCTTCTAGTAAGTTGGCCTCATATTAGAGTCTACCTTAAAGGCACAAATAAAGTTCTCACTTTGGGAAGGACCTTCATTTGCTTCTGTGGCGCCACCCAAAATGAGGAAGAGAAATGGCAATCATCTGTTAATAATTAGAACATGGACTGTATGAAGAATGACTCTAGGAAAATGAAAGTTTTTGTAAATTAAATGTGACAAAAATAAATCTATATTTTAGGCATTAATGAGCTAAAATGGACTGCTAATGGCCGTTTTGGATGACACAATATAGCCTATTATGCCTGGAATGACACATTTAAGAAGAACAGGTGTGAAAAGAAGATGGGCCGTGCAGGGATGGCCATATCAGATTTTTCCCAACGTCACAAAGGGGAATTGCCCCCAGCAACAACAACAAAATTAATTCCTACGAGGTCAGACATGTCCCCCATGTTCCCACACCTCTTCTGCTCATTCCAACACAAACCTACTGCTCTCCTGGGTCCAAAATCTGATGTGATAGCTCACAGACCACACAGAGCCGTATCAGGCAGTAAAAATGTTACCATTCAGGTCAGTAGAAAAAGGCAGTCAGAACAACTTCTGACTTCAGCCATGAGTCTTGTGGCTTTAGGTCAGTGTTACAAATTTCTCAATCCTGCCAATATTGTCTCTCCCCAAACTCAAACCCTTTAACAAACTTGGGCAAAGGCTCTTATCTCTGGTTCAACGATACAGCAGTTCCAGGGACCTCTGCATCTTAGGTCAGGTCTCTGGTCCTCTGCTGTGGCTGCTATTAAGTCTAGTTGGTGCGAAAGTCTCACTCTACAGCTGAAGCCTTTGAATTTCGGTTTTGGTGAAGAATATTGAATATACTATGGACTATCAAAAGAACTAACAGAACTATCTTAAAAGAAATTTAGCCAGAGTGTTCCTCAGAAGCTAGAATGGTGAAACTTTGTCTCACTTACTTAAGGCAAGTCATCACGAGCGTTTACTACCTAGAGAAGGACATCATACTT